CTCTCTGTCCTTTACTCTACCCCAGGCCCTGAGAGGAGATTTTGTTGGGTGGTGTAGGCCTGGTCCCTGCACATGGTTTCTCTTGTATTTAGCTTCCAGGGAAGGAAGAAGTGTCCCTAATCCTGTAATTCCAGATGCTTGTTTTATCAGCAAGACAAAAGCTTTCCCAGAGGCTCCTTTTATCAGGAGGATAAAGCAGGAAGATCACAAATTCTGGGCCAGCTGGGCTACAGAGTGAGCTACTATCTCAAAAACAAAACAAAACAAAGCCCACGTATCTAACAACCCCAGTCTTTTCATTATAAATCTGCATGGTCTCCCAGACATGGTTGCAAGCATTTCCTGTTGACAGTTTTCAGATACCAAATCAAGAGACAGAAGTAGAGCGAAGAGAGAAGTTGAACTGTTTATTTTTTCTGCTTTCTTCTGGCTGGCAGAGCCACTTCCTCCTGCAAAAATCAGAATGTTTGAGAGGGCGGCCCCTCCTGCCAGCACAGCATGGCTCTCATCACAGACCCACAACACCCTCCCCTGCTGCTCCCTCTGACTTGCTGGGCTGACAGATTTCTAGACACATCACAGTCTCTGGACACATCACGGTTTTCTATAACCTTTGAACTCTGCTCAATTGCCTTTTTTTGTGGCTGTGTACTTCCTGCTGGAACCCAGCCAACATGCCTTTCATCACCACACTTTATCAAAAATGACAGATGCCTCGGGCCTGTGACCCCAGAGCTCAGGCAGCCAAGGCTGAAGGATTGCTGTGAGTTCAAGGCCAGCTGAACTACCCAAAATAAATACATAGCTTAAAAAGACAGTAAACCAATAAAAGAAAAGGCACCCCAAATAGAAAATTAGAGAAAAATCAGGGAAAAAATGGAATCAATGAATATGAGATTCAAGTCAATAATATTTAATCAAATTATCAAAATTAGCTGGGCATGGTGGTGCACATCTGTAATCCCAGAACTCAGGAGGTTGAGGCAGGAGGATTGCCGTGAGGCCCGCCTGAGCTATCTAGTGAGTTCAAGGCCAGCCTGAACTGCATGGTGAAGCCGTCTCTCAAAAAAAAAATCAATATCAACAAAATATTGTTGCTTAACTATATCAGGTCAATGTGGGGGCCTGGAAATATATTTAGTGGCAAAACAATTGCCTGTCACACATGAGGCCCTAAGTTCAGTCTCCAGCACTGCAAAATAAACAAGACAGATACAGAGGCTAGAGATAGCAGAGCATATGTTTAACATGTCTGAAGCCCTGGATTTTAATCTCCTGAACCAAAAAATAAAAAAATGTGACAGAATAAATCGGAGGAGCAGTATAAAGTATATAAATCCTCACTGTCCATAGCAGAAAGTGCATATAGGAAGCTGGAAAGGCAATGCCAGTGTAAGCGTGTCCTTTAGATAAATTCCTAGATGACAGAAGAAAAAAGTTGGATGTGCTGAGACAGTACTTGGGAGGATAAGGCAGGAAGATCACAAGTTCGAGGGCAGCCTGGGCTACACAGTGAGGTCCTATCTAAAAATAATAATCATATAAAAACTGTACAGCCTTCCTATTATCAACACCTGTGGTCCCTCGGACATGGTTCCAAGCACCTCGTATAGACACAATGTTCACAGGCCAGACAAGCACCTCTCTGAACTCTCCTTTCCTTCAGTCCTCACCACCATCCAGCTCTTGGAAAGCTCACAACTGAACTCAACTAATCAATCAGAGTTTAAACAGGGAGGGACTTATTTTCTCACAGAACAAGAAATCCAGAGGCGGGGCCATTGTTTACATGGATTCAAGGCCATCCTGACAAGGCCATCCGGTCCAACTCTGTCATTCTGCTCTGCAACTTTCTGTTCTTTGGTCTCAGCATGTGGTCTGCAGACATGCAGCATAAGCATTGCCTGGAAAGTTGTTAGAAGTGCAAGCTTTCACACCTACTACAGACCTATGAATGGGAAATTCAGGGCACAGCCCAGCAATATGTGTTTTGAGAAGCCCTCTGGGTGAATCTGATGCACTCTAGGTTGAGAATCACTTTTTGGTGCTAATCACCTCATGGTCACAAGATGGTCACCACAACTCCAAAGATTACATCATTTTTCAGGGGAGGAAGAAGAAGGAAGTGTCCCTAATTCTAGATGCTCATTTTACCAGGAAAACAAATTTTCCCAGAGGCTCTCAGCAGATATTTCCTCAAGAATCCATGGCTTGTGGACATGATTGTATAATCCTAGCCCTCTGGAAGGCTTGAGGCAGGAGGGGAATGTAAGGACTCAGGCTAGCTGGTGACAAGAAAATCAGTGAGACACAGAAATCCCTCTCTCATTAGTATTGTTGCACTCTGTGGCATAGTCTTGGTTGTGTTGCATTATGCTAAAAGAATTTCTTTTCATCAAACCTGAACAGGAGGGAAAAGAGGACTAATTGACCCACTGGTTTGAAGATAAGTTATTTTGCATTTTGACACAGATTTTAGTGTGGACATTTGATATTGTGGCTGCTTTGACACCACTGATGGAACAGCCCATCAAAACCCCTGCTTTGAGGGCTTTGGAGACTGAGGGTGTAGGGTAGCTACTAGTGGACCGGTGCTTACTTGGCATCCACGAGACCCCAGGTTTGATCGCTAAACCTGGAGAGGAAAGTTTGCTTTGGTATACACGCTGCACACAAGGAAACAGTGATTAGTATGTGCAAAAGTGCAGAAAGGAGAAAGGAGAACTGTGGGTGTTCAAGGGTCTGTGTGACACGCAGTAGGAGAAACCAGAGAGGGCAAAGGTCAGCATACAAAGGGTCATATGTGCTTCACTGAGGAGGTTCACTTATTTTTCTTTTTATTAATTGCTACTAACTGTTGTACTGGGATTGAACGCTTTAATTTTTTTTTTTTAATTTTGAGACAGGATTTTATTAGTCACTAAAATTGCTCAGGGTGGCCTGAATTTTCAATCCTCTTGACTCAGCTTCCCAGAGAGCTGGGAGTAGGGTATACACTACCGTAGTTTTATTTTTGTTTTTTTATCGGTACCGGTGATCGAACTCACGACCACACACTTGCAAGGCAGGGGCTTATGCCGCTGATCTAAATCCCCAGCACCCATTTATCTTCTTGACCCGAAGAGAAATCACTTCACAAAAATCACACCAAGCAGCTGTGCATGGTGGTAGTAACTTAGCAACAAGACCCTGTATCATAAAAAAAGAACCCTGTATCAAAAGAAAGAAAGAAAAGCACAGAGAAGAAAAGAAAAATAAATTAAAGGGGTTGGGGATACAGTTCAGTGCAGAGGCCCTGAGTTTAATCTTCAGTACACACACGCGTACACTTGCAAGTGCACGCGCACACACGCACACAGCAACAGAATACAAAAATAAGTTTGTTTTAGGACAAGATACACATTCTTCAGATGCCCAAACCAGCTCACTAGTGTTGTTTGGGTTCTTTCTGATTAGGTCCTGAGTTTAAGACGCTCTTTCAGTGCCACACACCTGCACTCTCATCCAGGTGGACCCCACAGATGTGCAAGCACTGCACTAAGGTAGGCACTTCCTTTACTCACTGGCCCGCCCCCTGTCCCGGTGTGTTACACAACTGGTTGCCTCCCAGGAAGTGGCTCAGATTTGCAAATCACCGCCCAAAAGCAGTTCTGCCGCAGCAACATCAACTTCCTCTTGGCTTTGACTCTCGCCAGGAAGTAGATGGGTCACCGTCAGTGGCAGCCTCACGGTCCTCCCTGCTCCCCGGGCCTCCTCCGGTCCTGCTGTGCTGCGTTGTGGGGCAGGGGCCGCAGGTGCACACCGCCCCCACATCCTGCGTTGTTCTCCAGCGAGGCGCAGCAGGCTCGCCCGACTCCCACGCAACTCACGTCAGATACCCCGCTGACCCCGCTGCAGCCCTCGACTCAGAAACCCGTGGCTCCCCCTCGCGAGCTCGGCTTCCTCAGCCTGCTCTCTGAGCTACGCCTCGAAACCCACTGAGCTCCCCCACCTGGGCAGCCGTCGCCAATGCATCTGCCCGACCCGAGCCCTGGCCGAGGCGCACCTGCGCCTCCTCCTGGAATCGGGGTTCCCCTGCCCCTCAGAGAGGGTGGGGAACGGTCCAGCGCCCACCACAGGCACTCTGGAAAGGTGCGAGATGGTCCAACCCGCTGCCACTTCCAACCAACTGCCAGCGTGGAAATACCGCGGCGGGTAAAATGCACCTATAAGTGAATTTAGAAAAGAAGACAAACTTGAAGCGTGGAGAAAATAACATTAAACAACTTGTGATGAGGACGCCAGCTGAGTAGTCCAGGTGCAACCGATGCCATTTCCCTGCTGTGTGACTCCAGGCAAGATACTCAAACTCTGTGTGCTTTGGATTCATCTGTAACGTGGAGAGAAATGCCTTCTATATGCTCATAAAAATTATAAAACATGCATATGAGAACTATCTGGGATATTGTCATGCTCAACAAATTGCACCTTTGGGGGCTGGGGATTTAGCTCTCTGGCTTAAGTGCCTGCCTTGGAAGTGGGCGGTCATGAGTTCGATCCCTGATACTGATTAAAAAAAATTTTTTTTCACCTTTTTTTTTTCTTCAGTGGTGAGAATCAAACCCAGGGCCTTGTACATGCTAGGAAGTGCTCTACCATGGAGCCACACTCCTAGCCCCTATCATTAACTGTGAACAGCAGGCCTATTTTATCCCAGTTTTATCGGTGAGGTTACAAATTTTTATGCATTGACTAACCCACCAACGAGCTGAGTATCATAGCACATGCCTCCGCGCTCAGGAAGCTGACACAGAAAGACCTCAAGTATGAGGCTGGCCTGGGCTACATAGCAAGTTCAAGGCCAGCCTGGACTGCTTGGGAAGATCCCTTATCCAAAGGGCCAAGAGTGTAGGAGGATAGCACAGTGGTACTTTCCTAGCATGCATGAGGCCCTGGGTTCCATCCCCAGAACCTTCAAACTCATACACACAGACTGAGAGAGAGACAGAGAGAGACCTGTATCATAAAGCAATGATTAAACTTTAACCATTATTTTCAATTGCTGACAAAGTGAAGACATCAAAATACATTTGAAAAAATATGACTAGAAGATACAACTAACTGTGCCTCATGACCCTTTGCTCCAAATCACCATCTTGCCGAGTTCAAGTGTGGAAGGAACTTTTCTAGTAGGAAGAGAGGGGAGAGGAATACATTAAGACACTGAACAGCCCCAGGGCCTTTCATCTCCCTTCCTTCCCCACAGAAACTACTCTGGCCCTGGGGCAACCATGTACCCACACACTGCTCCTTCATCCACACTTGGGGATGCTTCTGCCCTAGGCCTGGAAGTCTGAGCCAGTAGCTGGTGTTCATAGAAAATAATCCTTTTTTTTTTTTTTTTTTTTGGTACCGGAAATTGAACTGAGGACCTTGCACTTGTCAGGCAGGCACTATGCTGCAGAACTATACCCCTGGCCCAAGAATTTTAACTTTTAAAATGTTTTGGCATTTTTCTTTTCTTTTTTAGGCACTGAGTATTGAACTTGAAATCTCATGCTTGCCAGGCAGGCACTTGTGCCACTGAACTAGGCCCTTGGCTTGTTTTGGGTTTTCTTTGAGACACAGTCTTGCTATGTAGCCTAGGGTGGCCTTGGACTCACTGCAATCCCCCTGCTGAATCCTGGTATTGCAGCCATATGCCACCATATCTGGCAAGAATTCTTATTTATTTATTTAGTCTTTTTGAGATAGGGTCTCACTGTGTAGTTCAGGCTGGCCTTGAGCTCACTTTGTAGCCCACTTTGTAGGCTGGTCTCAAAATCACAACAATCCTCCTGCTTCAGCCTCCCAAGTCCTGAGATTACAGGCATGAGCCACCATGCCCAGCTAAGAATTCTAATTCTTGAAGTTCTATTTTCTTAACATAAACGCATAGAATAATACATACATACAAATTTTAATATATTTTAAGTGATAAACTATATTAATTGTAGGAAGGCTCAAAAAGGTTGTAAAGGAAAGGAGATAGGAGTCTCCTCTACAGCTTCTAGAAAAGAGCACAGTCTTGCTCATGTCCTGATTTTGGATCAGTGTCAACTGAACTTCTAGTCACAGAACTATAAAATAATAAACTTGGCCGAGACATGGTGGTACACACTGCTAAGTCCAGCAGTCTGAAAGGCTGAGGCAAAAGGATCTCAAATTTGAGCCTAGTCTGAGCCACTCAGTAATTTAGCAAGACCCTGTCTCAAGATTTAAAAATTTTAAAATGGGGCTGGGGATAGAGAACAAGGCAAAGACTTTTGGTTCAGTCCCCAGTACTAAAAGAAAAAAATTATTCTGTGTTCAGCCACTAAGTTTTGTGATGCTTTCTTAGAGGAGCAACAGAAAATGAATACAGGTTTTGGTGCCACCAAACTGGATACTGGAAAGTGGCAGGAAAAATTCTGAGGTGCATGATTTTTAAAAGCCAAGATTGCCATGAACCGACTATTAGCAGAAATACAACTATTAAGGATTCCACTAGTGAAGGCTGGGAAAGAATCTGGGGAACATGGTAAAAAATATATAAACCAGCTAAGAGAGTCCCTGAGTGTTGGTAAAGAGAATTTATGGAAATGTGGATGTGAGGTCCAGGAATATAGTTTAGCAGCACAGTGCCTACCTGGCAAGCATGAGGTCATGAGTTCGACTCCCAGTACCAAAAAGAAAAAGAAATGTGGATTTGAAGGCACTTACAAATAAGAAGGAAGTGCAGAATGTGTTACTGGAAATTGGAACAAAAACGTGATCCTTGTTACATGGAACAAAAAAATTTAGAATTGTGCTTTGCAGTTATGTAGAAAGCAGAACTTACAAACCATGAACATGACTGTGTAGTTGAGCAAACTTCCAAACAAAGTGTTGTAGGGCATGGCTTGGCTTCTTCCTGCTGCTTACAATAAAATGTGAGGGTATAGTATACATTGAGAAAAGAACTGTTAAAATAGCTTGTTTTCAGAACTAGATGAGTTGGGGAAATATCAGCATATCCAGTTTGCAAAAGACGTTAAAATGTCACTGTTTACTGTCAGGAAAGTACATGTCAGAGAAAAGGCTGAAGATATTGCTCATATTTCAGTAAGATTAAAAGGTCAGAGTATTCTCTCACAGAAAAGGCTTTTGGAACAGATTAATTGTGTCATTTTCATATCCTGTTGCCTACCACGATGCAAGCCAAAACTAGAAATGGGTTCTCCAGGGAAATTCTGCAAGGGAACCTTTTGTCTAATGGAGTGAATCCCCAGACACACAGGAGACCCTCAAAGTTATTGACAATTTAATACCAGCAGAAGCACTGGAGCTTGGACTAAAAGGCATACAAAGGATATGAAATGAAAGAAAAAGGCTGTAGATCCCCCAAATGCTGCAGAAGAGAAATATGTTGATGAGCCTGCACAGTTGCAATCTGTGCTGTCTGTCATGAAGAAAGAATACCTGTCCTAGTGGAAGAGTGGCCCGTTTGGAGAGTAGAGTCCCACGCCACAGATTAATCCCAGGTCTGGAAATCTGGTGGACTTTGGCTTCATTTTGAAATTGCTCAGGACTGACTGTTCTGATTCTTCCATTTTGTCCTTCCTCCTGGGGCTGTTGTCCTGTGTCAGTCCCAACTCTGTATTTAAGGGGTAAAATTTGTTTTCTAGTTTCATGTGTCCACAGGGGGAGAGGGATGTGGCTTCACTGTATCATATATATGACAAGTCTCCTTCGGTGCCTAATTTGGTTAACTTTGAAGTACTGAATTTTGCATGAATCTGAGCTGATCAATTCACAAAGTCGAAGAATGAAATCATGGACAAAAATAGGGCGCTAGAAGAGTATTTCTTGGAAACATGAAGAAGAGAAATACCTGCTTTCACCAAGAGGGAACTGAATTTTGAATGGAAGTCCAAATTGTTCTCTGTCCTGCTCTTATAGAATAAGCAGGGGGATGTGGGGAGCTTGTTTCAAAAGGAAAGATTTCAAAGGAAATCAGCTATTTTGCATTTCTAATGTTTCTGGAAGTCTAGTCAGGAGGAAGGAGAAACTGTCCACTAAGCCAACTCTGCATAAAAATCTTCTTCCTAGGAAAAAGGTCATTTTCTGCCCATTCTTATCCCAAACCTTTCGAGGTTTTGCATGTGTGTGTTTTCCTCTTTAACTTGTTTAAACTTAACTTGCTGCTCAAAACAAATTTTACCCTCTTCACTCGGTGTGTGCTATTTTCTTTTATCCAGTTCTATCTTAGGCTGTCCTGATTGCCTACTTACAAGCTAAATAAACTTTTGTGGTGGTGAGATTTAGATCAGTCCCAGATTTGAACTCTGACACTTTAACGAGCCAAGACTTTTGGGGGCCTTGTAATGAGAGCATATATTTTACACATAGGACAGACATGTGTACACTGGGGCCAGATAGCAGATAGCAAAAATGTCCTTTCAAACATGCTCAAGTCCTTAAAACACAGAACCTGTGAATTACTACATTACATTACAAAAATGGGCTTTGCAGATGTGATCAAGATAAGGTTGTTGGGGGGGATGCAGATAATATCATCCTAGATTAACAGGATGGGCTCAGTGTAATTGCAAAGATCCTTTAGAGAGAAGAGGAAGACAGATGAGGGAAGCAGAGTGAGGTTTTACTGATGGGGAATCGTCACAAAGAGATATAATTTTGCTGAATTTGAGGATGGAGGAAGGGCAGGAAAGTTCTAGAAGGTGGAAAACACTGAGAAATGAATTCCCTCTTAGAGTATCTAGAGAGGAACAAAAGGGGTGGGAACAAAAAAGGGGAAAACAAGACAGCAGTCAAATCAAGGAGTCAAATCAAGAGGCCAGTGTAATAACCCAAGCAAAAAGGATGCCAGGCTGAGTTGGGCAAAGCGGGGATGGAGAGAAGCAGGTGGGGGAGATAAACATACATGGGGTGCAGTCACTGGGACTCAGTGATAATACTTCTGGTGGAGGAGAGACAGAATACTCCAGGCTGAACCCATATTTCTGGCTTAAGCAGTAGGACAGAGGGTGTAACCACTAGCTGCGTAGGCTACACAGGAAGAAGAGCGGGTTTGTGGGCATGAAGATAATTTCATCTGGGACGCGGCCAGTTGGTGATGCCTGTGAATGCCGCTGGATAAGCAGGTCTACAGTCTGATGAAAGCAAATGGGTGGGGTTGGGTGAAATGGCCCAGGAAGACTATGGAGAGCAAGAAGGAAAACAGTACAGGGCCTTGAAGAGTGCTAAGGAAGGGAGCTCCAACAGGAGACTCACAAAGGAGCCTGGGAAGGAACAGCAAGAGAGGCATGAGGAAACCAAGAGATACAGCTCGTGGAGACAGCACTGTAGCTTATCGATGTTGGACAAGAACCAAGAGGAATCAGGTGGAACAGGGTGTTTTGGTTTAGGTCCAGAATGTTCCCCAAAAGTCTTGTGTTCGGAGATTGGGCCTGCTTGGTCAGCAGGGGTGTGGTCACTGGGGTTGTGACCCAGAATGGTATAGTCTTGTCCCCAACTCTTCCTTTTTCTCCCTGCTTCTTGGCTGCTATTAGGTGAGCAGCTTTCTTCTCCTGGGTCCTTCTACCATGCTATGTATGCCTTGGAGTTACCTAACCATGGACTGGACCCCCGAACCATGAGCCAAAATAAACCTCTCTTCCTTTTAGCTATGGGCACCAAATATTTTCCCTCACAACAGGAAAGTTGATTAATATATAGGGTCAGGCCTGGTGGTTTGGGGTGGTGGTGGCTGGAGACATTCTGCTTTATCTGGAGAATGGAGCTGGTAGTTGGCATTTCTGCTCAGTTACCTGAGTCCAGGTGAGCCAATCTGAGGCAGGAGATTAGGCATGGCCCATCACTGGGGCAAGTGGGTGTGATCTGTCAATCATGAAGATTAAGTCCTGAGCCCTGAATGTGGGACCAATCAAAGAATGTTATATTCTGACATCATAATGGGGGGATACAAAAGACTGTGGCTGTTAACTCTGTGGCCACTGTAAACTCTCTTGGTGGCCCTAGTCTGCACTCTACAGAACGCACTCCTTGCCTACCTTTAATAAATGTAAAATCTCACTAGTTTTCCTGTGCTTCTTGTCCTACTCTTTGCTCAGGGAAAGACACTTGACAAGATCCCTGGGAAGATGACAGCTCCCCGGACCATAGTAACAAGCCTGCTTGGGACTGAGGCCCAGCCTAGAGTGGACAGCTGTTTCCAGCAAGAGGCTCAGCTCCTCTCATACACTGGGACTTGAATCCAGGCCCTTCACATGGAGCACTACATCTCCAGCCCTGTATTTGTTTATTTTTATTTTGAAACTGGGTCTTGCTAAGTCACTAAACTGCTGTGCCTCAGCCTCACAGAGTGCTGGAATTACAGGCTTATGCCACTATGCCCTGCTTCACGTGCTCTGATTAAGAGATCTATCCCCTGCTTCCTAGACCTGACCAGTTACAACTGTTCTTCCTTAGCAGCAAAAAAGATCACCTATTTTCTGAACATGTGCCCTGTTACCTGCCCTCACTTACCACCTTTCTTTTGCCAGAAATAAATGTCCAAAGCTTTTGGGCATTCCGTGCTAAGCTTTCCGTGTACCTGAAGATGTGCTGGTATTCTCCCCATTCCACAAGCAGTGTCACAGGCTGGTCTCTTCAAAGAGGTGAAGTGACTTTCCCAAGGTCACACAGTCAGTACGTGGTAGAATTAGGATCCAATTCTAGCTGAATCCAAAGCCCAAATCCCAGAAGCCGTGATCCCAGAAACCATGATCTCTCGGTTGCTGAGTTCTCAGGGCTTGCTTGGCCTCTCTCCCCGTTCCTTCTCCCTGGAACTCCTTGAGAAAAGTGTTTTGGTTTGTTTTGGTTTGGTTTGGTTTATTTTGGTTTGGTTTTTACTGTTTGTACTGTAGCTGTCTGGATTGTGTGCTGTACGTGATGATCACTAGATGGCGCCAGAGCAGCACCCAGTTTAATTTACAGACGTCGGGAAGCGCGACCCTGAGCGAAGCCAGCAGAGAAGCGCCAGCGCTTTCTTCTTGTCCTCAGGTGTCAGCCATACAGCCTATCAGAATTGGGAAGAGAGAGCAAAGATTGGAAAGTTAGCGATTGGAGATTTCAGAGGTGTAAAATAGATTTTCCCAGGCCTTAAATCGAGCAGAAGAGTCTACAATGCTTCTCTGGGAAAAGTTAGGACTAGAAAATAAAAACTTGCAGGAAGCTCTAGGGAGGGTCACGACTCACCCCCCCCCCATTCATTTTTGTGCAGAACCCAAAGCACACCACGCTACGCTGTAGTCAGAGCACAAAGGACGCGCACACCATGGGACTGATCCTGAGCCGAGAACAAGGTGTGTGCTCTCAGGAAACTGCATTCCTCTGAGCCTCGGTTTTCTTGTGCGTAATCGAGGGACCTGCTTCCCTGAGTGGTTATGAAAGATTAGCAGGGTTCAAGCTGGCCGTTTAGTAGGTGCTGCCTCTAAGGAGAATAATCGCTGCACCCACGGCAGAAATTTGGTGCTCAAGGATTCACAGGCCGGAGGAGACAACAGATTTACAAAAGGTGTGAGCTTTGCTTGTACAGATTGTAGTGGTCACTCACTGACCAAACCATGATTCCTGAACCTGGCTTATAAACCTGTAATACCTACAACCTGGGAGACTGAAACGGGAAAATTTCAAGTTTCAATCTAGTGACTTAGCAAGACCCTGTCAGAAAATTTAAAAATAAAAAAGGCAGGGGATGCAGCACAGTGTGAAAGGCTACCACAAAAATAAATAAAGGGGCTGGGGATTTAACTCAGGGGCATAAGCATCTGCCTTGCAAGCAGGCGGTCGTGAGTTTGATCTCCGGTACCGGTAAAAAAATAATAATAATAAACAGAATTCCAGATCAAGTGCTTCTGCTTTCATCTGAAGCTGGTGAAAACCACAGCAGGGCTCTACGTGGGGAGCCACAAAGATGACTCTCCTTGACTCTCCTTGAAAAGTAGAGCAACGATCTCCATTTTGAATAAACTTGGCCCTATCTCCATGCATTGATATGTACAGAGCTAGCTAGGTTATTTCAATTGACTTTAAGCAATGTAAACTGGGCTGGCTGAGGAGCTGTTGTGTAATCTCTGAAGGAAAGCGACAGGTCAGTGTTACCCCACCCAGTGACCCCCCCAAATAGTTGGTTGAGCCAGGCAGGGTGGAGAGCCAGGCGCCAGGCTGTCAGCTGGGGCCAAGCCTCCAGAAAGAGGCTGTGATGTACCAGGGCACACAGAATTGTACATCAGAACCGAAGCACTGACCCCAAACTATTAGACCCTACTTCAGCTGTGTTATGCAGATTATTCTCTGCATTTTTGCCCTCTGCATATCCCAGAGGTGATCTCAACCCTCCTACCCAGCCCAGCTCAGGTAGTCAGGGCAGCTGCAGATTTCCCCCCTTTTTCACTGTCACTCATCCCCATGACACCCCCTCATGGAGGATTAATAAAACGGGCTGGGCTCTGAGTTGTGGCCTCTGTTCCTGTGAACACCATTTTGGCTGGACTTAGGATCCCTTGGCTCCCCGCAACTATATATATAAGTCTTGGTGTCTTTCCTCTCCTCATGGGTCACACTGGAAATGGTAGATTGGAATTAACTTATTAGAATTCCAACAACTTCTCCTTGGGATTACAATTATAAACTTTCCCAACAAGGATGAGAGAGGATTCTTTATAGATCTATATTATCCCTCATAAAGTATTTTTCCCCTTTTGGTTTTTTGAGACAGGGTCTTCCATGCAGCTTGGCCTGGCCTTGAGCTATGTAATCTAGGTTGGCCTCAAATTTGAGGTGATCCTCCTGCCTCAGCCTCCTGAGTGCTTGGACTACAGGTATGGCCACCACACCTGGCCTTTATTCTAGTATTTTATGAAGTCAGACATATTGGTACATGCCTGTAATTCCAGCACTTGGGAAGTTGAGACAGGGGGATTGCTGTGAGTTTGAAGCCAGTCTGAACTACCAAGTGAAGTTGTCCCCAAAAAAAACAAAATACAGAAAGTTGTCCACATTGGGAAAAAGGTGTAATAAACATGCTTAGACCAGTGTGCTGGTGAATGCCTACAGCCAGCTACACTGAATCTGAGATAGGATGTGGGATTTCAAGGCCTGGGCAATTTAGGGAGATCCTACCCCAAAATAAAATTTTAGAAAAGGCTGAGGATGTAGCTCAGTGACAGAGTGCTTGCTTGGTATATGTGAGGCCCTGGGTTCAATCCTCAGCACTGCAATGAAAAACAATAAAAAAAAAAAAAAACAACTCCTGTCTGTGAAAATGACAATAAGACCTAACTGGAAAATAATCAGCCTTGAAAACTAGAACTAAAATTGCCAGCCCCAGTCAGCCTGTCCTTGTCATTGCCATTCGGTTGCTCAGTGGCTGCTCTCTAAGTCAGGGAAAGCAAGGACAAGCTTGGCTTTTTGAGACAGGGTCTCACTATGAAGTTCAGGCTGGCCTGGAACTCTCAATGATCTGCCTGCCTCAGCCTTCCAAGTACTGGGATTACAGGCATGTACCACCAATTTTTATCTCTAGTTTTCAAGGCTGGTTATTTTCTGGCTAGGTCTTATTTTGGGGGAAACATTACTGTATTTAAAAAGCTAACAGGCCCTTCAATTTACAAAGCTGTACCTTCAGTAAATGCAAAACCAAAAGTAGTTAAACATTTGATAAGAAACAACCCTTGAAGTTGCCACAAGGACTTCCAACAGCGGAGAACATGACTAACATGTGTCTCAAGAGCCCTGGGCTGGGGCTGGGGTGTAGCCTGTGGTAGAGTGTGCTTATCCTGCGTCTTGTTACAAAATAAAAGCAAACACAGCCGTCAAATCACCCGTGCCTGGCTCCTAGGGAACCTGTGAGGAGGAAACAGTTAAGCTTTGAGGCCCCAGCAGCTACAGATTTTTTTCTTGCAGTATGGAAATTGAACCCAAGATCTTCATGCTAAGCTACATCCCAGCCCTTTTTAATTTTTTAAATGTTGAGACAGGATTTCGTTAAGTCAGTAATTGCCCAGCCTAGGCTTCAACTCACAACCCTGCTTCAACCTCCCAGGGTTCTGGGATTGTAGGTGTGAGCCACCATGCCCAGTTTGGCTTTCTTTTTTTTTTTTCTTTTATCTCTTTTTGGTAGAGGAGACAGGGTCTGACCGTGTAGCCTAGGCTGGGCTCAAACACAATCTTCCTGCCTCAGCCTCCAGGTACTGAGACTATAGGCATGCACCACCACGCCTGGCTAGTTTTGGATTTTAAAAAATGCAAACATGTTTTTACTGAAAGCTCATGAAAAATGTGTACATATATGTTTGGCTTTCTGAAACAGGGTCTTGCTATGTAGTCTTCAGGCTGGTCTTGAACTCACTAAGTACCCCAGATTGGCCTCAAACTTGCATCAATCCTCCTGCCTCTACCTCCAGAGCATTGGTATTATAAAATATAATTTTTAAAATGTGAGTAACACACTTATACAATATCTTTCATATAATAAGTACTCAATAAATATTATAAATATGTAAGACTTATGTTTTAATACTATATAAAAAATGATGTGATACATAAATGATAGATATTATTGTTGTATGTGGTGGAATCATGGTCAACTTGTAATGCCCAGCTGAACTGAATCAGTGTGGTGTTGGGTGTGGAGGGCCCACCTGAGGATTGCTGCCAACAGCATAAAAAGAGAACTGGAAGGGAAGATGGTGCCCTGTCGATTCCCCTGGAGAACCATGTTGCGTTGGTTTTCCTGATATGAAAACAGTTCTCATCCTTAGAGGAGGTCTGGTCTTTGTAGTCACTGAGGATGGCTGTGGTTCTTTTCTGGGGAGCGCTGGTCCTTACCTTGAGTACTGCCTCCTGGCTCCAGGGCAGATCCTTCAATCTGCTGGTGCAGACTTTCTAGCTTCCACCACTGACCTTTGGGCCTTCCCAGGGCAGACCCTTGATACAGACTTGCATGAGACATTGTCACGGGCTCTAGGTCTCCAGATGGGCTCATTCAGGACACTACCATGGGCTCTAGGTCTTCAGCTGGACTCGTGCAGGACATTAACGTGGAACCCAGGCCCTCAGCTGGATTTTTTTGGGTCTCTAGTGTGTGAGCAGATCTCCTGCACTCTTTTGCACTTGAATTTTTGAGTGAATATTATAAAATTATCCTTCTGATTCTTTTTTTTTGTACCGGGGATTGAACTCAAAATCTTATGCTTACTAGGTAGGCACTTGTGCCACTGAGCTATATCCCTGGCTCTAATCATAAATGTTGCTATTTTTAAAATTTTTTGGTACCGATAATCCTTTAAGTTATGTATCCTATATTAAATCTATTCCAATGAAAACTCTAACTACAACAGACATTATTGTGGTATTTGTTAGGGTCCTCCAGAGAAACAGAACCTATAGGATAGATAATGTAAGAGGTTAATTATGGGAACTGGTTCACGCAGTTATGGAGGCCAAGACCTCCAATAATATATATGCAGTTGCTTGGGGAACAATAGGGGTATAAGTCTCTGAGTCCAAATGTCCAAAAGCCAGGAGCGCCAATGTCCAAGAGCAGGAAGTGGGTGTCCAGGCTCAACATGGGGGAGAGAGATCTCTTCTTCTGACTTTCTGTGTATTCTGACCATCAACAGACTTATTGGTGAGGGTGGATCCCCTTTGCAAATCCCACAGATTTAACTACTAAGCCCTTCCAAAAACACCTCTCCAGATGTGCTCAGAATAATGTTCCATCAGCTCTGTGAGCATCCCTTACACAGTCAGCTGATACAGGAAATCAGCCATCACATGTATTAATAAGTAGCAATTCTCCCCCTGTGAATATTATAATGTCTCCCCCTGTCACACCTGTCATTTAACTATTCCCTTGCACAATAGGCCTGACACATAGAAAATTCTCAAAAAATATTTTTGGGATGAAAACAATTTTGAGATAGGATCTTGCTGTGTCATCCAGGCTGGCCTCAAACTCCCAACCCTCCTACCTCTGCCTCAGGAGCGCTGGGATAACAGGTAGGCACTGTGCCGCCACGCTCCACTTAGATGAAACATTCAAAATGGATTTGAGTCATGATCTGTGGACTCACCCAGTTTGTTGAACCTGGAGAGACCTTCTGGGTATTTTATGTTTCTTTTCTGGGGGTTGCTGGGTTCGAGCTGCAGATTCTGCACAGCTAAAGCACAGGCTGCCACCAGCTGCAACCCCAGCCCCTGGGAGACTTCAGAGCGGAGCCTGCAGGACCAGGACCCGGAGGAGGGCGGAGCCACACGGCGGGGAGGGGCCAGTGCCCTGGGCAGAGAGCAAGCTCAGAACGTGTTTTTGGAAATAAGAAAAAGGAAGAGGAAAGAAGGAAAAAGGAAAGCAAAGGGGGAAGAAAGAAACACGGAAAGAAAAGAATGACAGAAGCTAACGGAGGGCTAAGGACCACTGAGATAGAGGTACAAAGGGGGTCTCAAGCAAAGTCTTTCCTTTTCTCCTCTCTCATCTGCTCTCTCTCCCTCCCTCCCTTCCTCCCTCTCTTTCTTTTTCTTTTTCTTTCTTTCTTTCTTTTTTTTTTCTTTCTTTCTTTCTTGTCTTTTCTTTTGCTGTAGTGAGCATCAAACCTGAGGTCTTCACACTGAACTGAACTTTTTATTTTTATTTTTACTTTTATTTTGGAGACAGGGTCTGGCTAAGCCACTAAATTGTCCGGCCTGGGCTTGATCTTGCAAAACACCTGCCTCTGCCTCGGAGAGTGCTAACGTGACACGACCCTTGGCTGAATTCAGTTTTTGATAGAATTAACATCGATGCCTTCTGTCACCGTAGACCCCTCAGCTGCCCTAAAGTTCAGTACACTTCTGTCTTTCTTCTCTTTCCTCAGTGCAGAGGACCTGACCCGGGACATCCGTGCATACTAGGCATGTGTTCTGCCGCTGAGACACCCTCAGCCCTTTTTGTTTCATTTTCGACTGAGTCTGGCTAAGTGGCCCAGGCTGGTCTTGAACCTGCCATCTTCCTGCCTCAGTCTCAGTGGCTGGGATTAAGGCAGGCAGCATACACCTGACTTCCACGCTTCTGACCCAAATATGAGCTCTGTGAAGGCAGATGCTGTACCTATGTTGTCCACCGTGATACAGACCTAGTATAAGAAAGCACTTGCTAAGTATTAATTTCCTAACCTGGGTGAATTCCACTTCTGGTAATGGTAGGTTAGATTGTTTCTAACACTCCCTAGATAACAATTATAAATTGCATTCAAAATATTGTATTTAATGACCAAAAAAATGAACTGATTTAAAGCACAGGAAACTAACCAAAAGCAGATTAGAAACTGGAAGGAGGTTCAGTATTTAAAATAAGGGATCTACACTGGGTATAATACATGTTTATATGGATGTCCTACCAAAAAATACTCCTCGGTCTTCACAGTGCAGAAAAGGTAAAATTCAAAAAACATTTCATTCAGATACTCGAATGCAGATGCTTGTGCTCCAGGGGGATGATTTGGGGATGACAATGCACCATGTATGTGCTGTTGTTGTCTCCTGGCTGCCACGTCCTGAAATTCTGTTTTAGTTATTTTTTTCTTCTTTTTTTCTATTTGAAATAAAATGGATTTAAAAAAAAAAAAATTCAGACTGTTCCTGGTCTGATGAAACAGAGAACAGAACTCAGGGCCACTGCAGCAGTTAAAAATCGAGGGACAAACCCCAACATGAGCCACACTGAGGAGCAATGGATGTCTTCGTTATCCCCCCTCAGATCCTTGGCTACACCCGGGACTGCTTGGGACAAGGCTCCAAGGGACCCAGGAGAAGCCCCGTCCTGGGAGGGCAAAAGCTGTGAGCGTAGATGTTAGCTGCTGCCCCGGAGAACTTCCAAGTCCTCTTTTTCCAAGAAAGTTGGAAGTTTAAATTGTGACAAACTGTAACAGTTTGGTAAAAGGATATTCCATAAGAGCTGGGTATGGTAGTATATACTTGTAATCTCAGCATCCTGGAGGCTGAAGCAGGAGAATCACCATGAGATTGACACCAGCCTGGGCTACATAGTGAATTCAAAGCCCACCTGAACTACATAAGGAGATCTTGTCTCAAGAACAAAAAACAAAACAAACAGCAACAAGAAAAAAGGATATTCCATGAAAACACATGCAGGGTTGGATGTGGTGGCCCAAGCCTGTAATATTAGCACTTTAGGAAGCTGAGGTAGAAGGATTTCAAATTTTAGCCTAGTTTGAGTAACTTATTGACTTAGCAAGAGCTTGTCTAAAATTTAAAAATAAAAATTTAAAAAGGGTATGGGTTCAATCCCCAGTACCACAAACAAACAAAAACCAGAAGAAACCAGTGGGGCATAGTGATGCATGCCTGTAATCCTAGCACTGAGCCTCCCACTCTGGAGGCTGAAGCAGGAGGATCACCATGAGTTTGAGGCCAGCCTGGGCTACCTAGTGAGTTCAAGGCCTGGCTGAACATAGCAAGACCCTGCCTCAACAAAAACAGTTCTTCGAAAAAATCTAATAAATTTTATAACTTCAAGGCTGGATTAAGCAAGAAAAAATACAAAATATGACCAAGGTTATAGCTCAGTGGCATAGTGCCTGCCAGGCAAGTGCAAGGTCATGAGTTTGATTCCTGCTACCAAAAAAAAAAAAAAAAAAAAATTGGCTATAGAGCGTGATAAACCAGACATTGCTACAGATCAGATCCTACAGGCGTTGAGTAAGTGACAAAGAAATGTTATGCCAATAAGTTGTACAGTTTATATTTAATGGGTAAATTATTTGAAAAACACAACAAATCCAAGAAGAAAAAAATCTGAAACTAGGCACGCTGGCCAACACCTGTAATTCAGCTACTTCTAAAACTGAGACAAAAAGGCTGCGAGGCTGAGGTTCACCGAGGAAACTTACACCCCGCCTCAAAATAAAACTTTTAAAGGGCCTGGGGATGTAGCTCACTATGCCTGTGTTCAGTCTCCAGCAATTAATCGAGAGGAGAAAGAGGGGGACAAAAAAGAAGGGAGAAATCTGAATCAGAAGAGTTCATATCTGTTCCATTAATTACATTCTGAACAATTTTTAAATGTCCAACTAAATAAATCTCCAAATGCCAGATGACTTCATTGATAACTCTTATTCAATATTTAAGGAAAAGCACAAAACCTTACAAAAACTCTTTCAAATTACAGGGTAAGGGCTGAGGATTTAGCTCAGCAGCATAAGTACCTGACTTGCAAGCTCGAGGTCATGAGTTCGATCCTTGGTATCAAAAAAAAAAAAAAATTAGAGGGTAAAAGAGAAGACTTCCCAAATTTTATGAGACTACTTTTACCCTGCTATCAACAGCTGGCAAGGATACCTGGAAAACAAGTCAGGCATGGTGGTGCATACCTATAAACCCAGTATATGGAGGCTGAGACAGGAGGATCACCAGGAGGCAGAGCCCAGCCTTTGCAACATAACCTGGACTACATAACAAACCACAGCAGCAAAGAATATACAAATAATAAAATTACCAGTTAGTCCTCATGAGTGCAGATGCCAATATGTTAACTAATCAAATACAAACGATTAGACTAACTTATTTGAGTTATAGAAGAAACACAAGATGCAGTTGCTGGACTAGGGTTCAGGCTAGCGAGCACAGCCACAGTGAGACGGGGCTAAAGCAAGTTCTCCCGAAAGTCTGGCCTGCATCTCTCCTGGGAATGATAACGCTAAGCCAAGTGATTTATCAAAGGGAGATCAACAGACAAGATCCTCAGGAAGGGACCGATCAGGGCAAGGCCACCATCATGAGCACATCTGCCTTTGTGGGTCACAGCATATTCCAGCACATCCTCACCATTCACCCCACAGCTCCACTGTCTCACCCTTGCCGAGCTCTGCCCTAACTGCTGCATAAACCGCACTTTCAATGCCACAGGATAGGGAGCTGAGATGTGTCACGCCCTCTCAGCGCACGGTCCCTGCACCGTGGGAGCTGCAAATGGGATCAAGTCAAATTAAAAAGCTTCTGCACAGCAAAGGAAACCACCACAGGGTGAAGAGACAGCCTGCAGAATGGGAAAAAATTTGCCTGCTCTTCCTCAGAGGACTAATATTTAGAATATATAACTAATAGGGGCTGGGGATTTAGCTCAGCGTCATAAGCAGCTGTCTTGCAAGCAGGTGGTCGTGAGTTCGATCCCCGGTACTGATTTAAAAAAAAAAAAAAGAATATGTAACTAATTTATTTAGAATATAGAAAGAACTAAAAATATTAGACCGCTCCTCCCTCAAAATAAAAGACTACATCAAAAATGGGCACGTGAAATGAATGGACACTTCTCAGAGACGGGCAGATGACCAATAAATGCATGGGAAAATGTCCTGATTTCTAGCTACTAGAGAAATGCAAGCAAAGACAGCACTGAGAGCCCATCTTAGAATGGCCATCATCAAGAAGTCAAATAATAAATCAGGTGTGGTGGCAAACAGCCATAATCCCAGCACTTTGAATGTTGAGGCAGGAAGATGGCCACAAATCTGAGGACAGCCTGGCTACACAGTGATCCCAAGACCAGTCTGAACTGCATATTGAGACCCTGTCTTAAAAACAAGTTAAAAAAAATCAAATAATAGCAAACACTGATGCCACTACAGGGGAAGAGGAATCTTCCTACACTTTCGGTAGAATGTAAACTAGTACAGCCACTATGAAGATTCCTCAAAAACTAAAACAGTAAGGAGATTCCACAAAAAACCCCAACAACTAGAAATTCCATTTAACCCAGCTGTCCCCCTTCTAGCTACCTTCCTGAAAGAGCCTAAGTGATACATGCATACCTGTGTTTATAACAGCACAGCTCATGAGAACTAATCTCAGAAGTGGCCTGCATCTCCATCAGCAGATGAATGGACAAAGCAGACGTGATTTTTGCCTACGTGGAGTACCACTTTGCCGTAAAGAAGGATCAATTTGAGTCATTTGTAAGAAAACGGATGCAGCTTGAGATTATAATGTTGAGTGAGATAAATTAGACACACAGACTTAGCCAGTGCATAACTTAGCCAGGCGTGGTGGTTCATGCCTGTAATCCCAGCACTTGGGAGGCTGAGGTGGGAGGATCGTTGCGAGTTTGAGACCAGCCTGGACTACAAAGTGAGCTCAAGGCCAGCCTGAACTGCATCGAAAGACCCCGTCTCAAAAAAAAAAAATTGCATGACTTCTCTCATATGAGAAACC